AGCCTCTTGCTTTCCTATTAACTATGATCTCCAAAAATTTAAATGCAATGTCAATCATCTTCTGTCAAACTGAATCCTATTCTTTTAATTGTCTTTTCTCCTCAATAACATTTTGGTGTAATGGATATCAGCTCAAAATGGGAAATCAAAGAGGTGAGTCCATTTGGGTTTGTTACATTTACTTATGCACAAATGCCCTTAGGAAAGATATGACTTTATCTCTTCTCCTCCTAATTATGGGTTAAATGGCAGGACAGACTAGGTCCTATACCCTTGGTTGGCAACCAGTTTCCTGCAGAAAGAAATTGCAACCTACTGTGGGAGAATCTTCTGCCTAGTCAGTCATGAATCAAAAGAGACACGTTGCCTAAATGTCTCAGTTTTTTTCATTCCCAGTAACTCTTACGTCTTAATGGTTTTATCACCTTGCTTGGGGGTGAAATGATTAAAAATGAGACGTCTGGACATTTTTAGAATGTTACAATAAAAGTTTTTATGTGGTCCATTTGAAAGTAGGTCAGTCATTAAAAAAGAAAAAACGATAGTCTTAGTTGTCCAAATGTTTTAGCTGAAGTAGTTATTATTTTAACTGGCTTTTTGTTATTAATTTTTCTTTCAAATCATTTTTTGTTGTTCAGGTAGTAGAAAAAGTAGCAGGTTCTATGGTCTGCTATTTACCTTGAGCTCCTTGATAAGATCCAAAGAAGAATATTATTGGTCCTGATGTGGTGGCTCAGCTCCAGTCACTTTCCTACCACCATAAGGTTGCTCCTCTGTGCCTTTTCTATAAATACTTTCATGGTAATTGTTCAGATGAGCAATTTGCTATGGTACCAAGACTGGCATCTAGATCTCATCAATTTACAGTTCAGATGTAGCTATAAATTCTATGCTAATAGTTTCTTCTCTAGCACTTCCTGCTTGTGAAACTCACTTCCACCTCCATGCTTTAAAGCCAACTTTAATCTACAAAAATTTAAATGCAATGTCAATTGTTATCTATTATCTCCCTGGTTGCTATCTTTTCTTTCTGCTCATCAATAATGTTTCTTTTCCCAATTCTTTCACACTCTATAGCCCCTTGTGTCTTAGTGGCATTATTGCCTTGCTTGGGGTGAATAAAGAAAAAAGAAAGATGTAATGGTCCTAAGATGGCCATATTATGTAATTGAAGCATTGACATTATTATTTGTGTTTACCTGTTTTTTCTTCCTTATTTTGCTGTTTCAGTAATAATTGTCTTAAGTTGTCCTAAACTTTAAGAGGAATGATTATTTTTGACTTGCAAAGTGACAAGACATGTTTATTCTTGTTCCAATAGACACAAGGCCATACTTCAAAGACAAACCAGTCCTAGGTATGAAGATTAACTACATCTGGCAGCAAGGCCTCTGATTGGGAGATTGGAGGTTTTCAGGATTTGGAGGTTTTTTTAATTACTGCTGTTCCTAGGTCCACCTTGACCTGGGGTGTAGCACCAGTTAAGGCCACAGCTATGGGCAAATAGTGAACCCTCAAATGAAAACAAAATTTTATGAAATTATAAAAATACATTTTTATTGTAAAATTATCAGTAATACAGTTTTATAGTAGAATTTCCAACAATATATTTTATAGCAAAATGACCAACAATACATTTTATCTGTAGTTGAAGGTATATAATTGCATTTAAAATATATTTAGTTGAAGCCATAAAATTGTGTTCAAAATATTTAGATTTTGGCATTAAATAACCCATAGAGGTGTTGATGTGCTGCTAAACAAAATCAACCAACCAACCAGAGACACATACTGAAAATTACTTTGAACTGTTAATAACTTCAACTTTATTTCTTATATTATCTTTATGTAACATGTCTGTTTAATACATTTATTCATTGTTTGTTTGAATTTATTTTTTTTTTCTTATTTTTGCCTGGACTCACATGAATCCACCAAATATTATTTGTGGGACAAATGTACCAGGAGGCATAAAATGAATAATTTCCATTCCCACAACAGACTTTACACAATGAAATAAATTGTCTTATAATTATCTTTAATTCACTCATTCTAAACCAATGAGAATCAATTTTTTCCTCTACACACACAAACATGTAACAGTCTCACTATTGGACAAGCGGTTCACATGGACAGGTGGTTAACATGTGCATTAATGAAAATTTTATCTTTTCCTTTTTCAGGCCATAATAGTAATCTTTTAGCAATCAACAAAAATTTGAAGTAAGAAAACCCTCGACACTTCTTGTATTTTCTAACTAAATTTTCTGAACACTCATTACACACATCTATAAAGAAAAATTACATGCAAGAAGGACTGTATAAACTTTGCTTATTTTTTATCTTATCCTTCTGTCAGAATCTGATCCATATTTGATCTCTAACTCACAATTTTACTCAGTATGACTGTCTCTCATGTCTCCAACACCACATAACAACCAGATAATAAATAATATTTGTTTAGCTGTTTCCACATCTTGCTGCTTTTCACTTTTATGAGTATTTTTGTATATATAAATGTTAAAGAGTTTATAATTATTTACTTAGATTTATAACTCTTCTACAGTCTTTTAACTGGCAGTTAGGTATTATTTCTATAAATTAGTTACTCCAGATTGTATTTCAAAAAGAGTGATTACATGGTGAAAATGATATCTGCCTAGAAGAAAGAATACACTTGTATTTACTGGTCTGACTTCTGCATCTGCTATTTAAAAACTTTCTTATACCTTATTGGACACCACCAAAGTATCTGAAACAAACATGGAACCTCCTCCTAAATTTCTGCTCATAAAGTCACGCCTTGGTGATAATTTACAATATCCTTTACTGATCTCTGAATATGTAAAAAACACACATTGCAGGAACTCATATTAAAACTTTAAATAGTTGTCATGTGTAAACCTGAACACAATGCATGTAAAAATCAAATTAAAGTTTTTATATTGTGCTAGTAATGAACATTTTGAAAATATTTGAATGGAAATTTTGCCTGGCTTTCATTTTTTGAGTGGTGCATTTGTAATAATAAGAATCGCCGACTCGCCACTGAGGAAAGAATGTCAGATCTCCCTGCATCCTGTCTACTGCTCTCACTCGTTTCATTTGACTTTGTTATCTCCTCTTGGTTTTGTCTGTGATTATCTCTCTTCTTGTCCTCTCGTACCAATGTTGGCTTTGGTTTCATTGCGTCACGCCGATTGGTCGATTTGTGTCACGTGGCTAAGTCTAGTGTATTATGGCGGAGAAGGAAGTAGCAGCGGCAACTGGTGGCGTAGTCGCTTGAGTTTTATTGTTAACAAGAAGGAAACGAGCAAAAGAAATAAGCACAAGGAATAGGGTGATGTAACCATTTATTCAGTAAATGATTCAATGACTGATTGTGGAACATCACTATTTATAAGGAAGCCATCGTTTGCTTGTTGACGACATTGGAAATTTACTGAATTGACTACAGTACTGAATGCAAACAAACAGAAGACCAGGTTGAAATTAAGACGTTCACATCACAAAAAAGAAGTTACACTTACAGGAACGAATACAGTACACTCTTGTAAGACGACGGAGAAAGTAAATCAAGTTGAGTTTGGATTATTGATCTACTTTTCTTTGAATATTTACAGACATTTTATTTAGTTCACTTTAAAAATAAACCCATGCTTTAGCACTGAACTAACCTACACTGACGAAAAATAATATAAATTTAATTTAAGGCATTTTTTAAACACTGATATTACTAATATTTTTTTAACACACCTTCATGCATACAGTCTTTAGGTGTGTGGTAGGTACACTAGTGTAAGCTTTGATAATGTAAAGCAAATAGATAACATTTTTTAATTAAAAAAAAAAACCTTTTTTACACAAAAGCAATTTTTTTATCAAGTGAATGTTCAATAATTCTGAAATACTTTTTTGATGATACAATTTAAATTTTAAACAATAATTCAAGCCAGTTTTACATTGCAGTACGTACGTATTGTACTTAATAATTCACAATACCTATCCTTAAATCGTTTGGTTTGTTTTAAGGTGTGCTGTAGACATTTACAAACAAACAAAAAGCAAGTTAGTTGCATGATTGAAGTGATAAAAAAAATCCCAAAGCTAAAAAAATAAAACTAAAAAAAAAAAAAAACAGGTCACAAAATTAATTTATAATTAATTAGATAAAATTTGTTATAGGAGAATTCATATTTTTCATTGTTTTTTTATTTGTATTTATTTATTCACTGTCTTAAAATACCACTTTGTTTTGTACTCTCCCAGAAAAAGAATATTGTTTTTATTATTCCCTTATTGCTTGTGGAAATCTTAAAAGAAAAATCTCATATTAAATAGTTTGTTGATTTTAAAAGCAAAAATATTTTTTTTAATATATTTCACAAATCTATCTGAAACAAAACAACAACATAAACAAGTTTATTTATTGTGTATTGTACCCACAAACACTAGCTCACTCCCACCATCTGCACAAAAAAAAAAAAAAAAAACCCTCACCCACTGCTATTGCCTGACATACGACACAGTCGTTCATTCTCACCGGTTATACTGTAAATAATTTTTTTGTTTTGTTTTTTTTCGTTTTTTTTTTTTTTACTACACTTGTATTTGGGAAGTATATATACCTATATTTTGAATTGATTATTTTTTTAAAAACTTATTACACGAAAAAAATACGTCCTTATTGAATGAAGTCTCGACACGTGCTTTCTAAAAAGAAAATAAATAAAATAAAATTTATTATTTTTTAGTTGATCTTCACTAAATAGTTCATTAAATAAAATTAAGTGTATGACCAACTAGGAAATAAGTGTTATTAATTTTTATAAACATATCGCATTATTATACCTCCAGGTGCCCTTTCTATCCATAAATTATTTATACAATAATAATATGATTCCTGTTCTATTTCATATATAAAAAAAAATAAAGTAAGTTAAAAAAAAAAAGAAAGTAAAAAAAAAAAAAAATAGTGTATGACGAAGTCGCTATGATCAATGGGTTTTCACTGTTCTCATTCTACGGATTTCCCGTTATTGGATACTTGGGGAAATTATCCAGCCAAAAATTGCCGGCAACATCAAAGAGGACGTGATGTAGATGTTGTAGCAACTAAAGAATCTGGAACACCATCCACACCATCTTCATCCTTTTCATTTTGTCCGCTGCTATCATCCTCATCGTACCAACATTCATCATCTGGGATCAGCTTGAACACAGCAGTTGCTGCTACAAGTACGTGTAAAACTTATAAAAATAATGTTGAAAACAGTAAATTTACGAGTACTGGTAAATATAAAAACAATAACAATAATGATGATCGTCGTTGGAGAAAGCTTTTTTGTTACCCTTCAATTCCTGTCTTCCCTTCAAAAACGAACATACTACTGCCTCGACAACATATAACCCTCGGATTTACTACTGGTAAGTATTTTTATTTTACAAATAAAAAATTGAAATTGATGTTTGTTTATTTATTGAGTCATTTCTTTCGTTTTATTTCTTTTGCTTTTTATCGTAACCTTTAAAATTCTACGATCGTTAAAGGAAAGCAAACAGCATGGATGTCACCGGAGGCTTCCTTTTTATTTTTCCGATTCTTCCTACTTGCTTAACGATCTGAGATAAATCAACAAAAGAAATAAAATGAAAGAAAAAGACATTTAAAAAATGACAAGATGATACATTTTTAAAATATGAAGAAATATAGTTTTGTTATATTTATGGGATAAAAAGTGCTCAATATGTAAATGTGAACATTGAAGTCAACACAGAGGCGACTGTTTCATGCTAAACTAAACGCAATCGGCAGGCCAGTAATATGTGGAACAATGTTTTTAATTTAATTACAAAATTAAATTCGAAGCTTTTAGCTTCCATTTTTGAAACATGGTTATTACTGTGTAGCGAAAAAAAACATTTTAAATCAGTTAATTTATAATATATATATGTGTGTGTGTGTGTTTGTTTGTAATTTTAAAAAAATTAAAAACAGTTGTTTACATTAATGTTAGGATAATTTTTAATTTTTTTCTTTGTATAGAAATGTGTGAAATAAATTCCTTAGCCAATGTTATTTTATTTTATTTTTTTTTTCATATTTAAGAATTTCTAACAATTTAAAATTTTAACTGTAACAAATATATTATAATAAAAATATACATTTTAAATTATTGTACAAAAAAATCAAAGTAAATTTGATTTTCCCGGATAAGAGACTTCTCCGGTCCCGACAACTCTCTTATATCCGGGTTACACTGTAGTGTATTTTTAATATTCACGCATCTTGTTTATTTGTCGCTTTCTTAAATTTTGCTAGAAACAATAAAGAAATTGCTTAGTCATACTTTTAACTTTTAACTCGCTTTTTAGTTCAGAAAATACCCCCCCCCCAAAAAAAAATCAATCTGAATAACGAACTTATAAATAAATGACTAATCAATTTAATTTTCTTTTTAGTTTTTTATACCAAATTTACAGGGGATTCAATTTTTTTATTTAATTTTATTATATACAATTCTTAATTCTGTAAAAAATGGATCTACAAAAAACAAATGCTTCACTGCTTTTCTCTGGCTTAACTTTTACTTCAAATGTCATTTAAAATATTTTTTTTTTTTTTGTTGATTTCCGTCCGCATTTTAACACGTGTATTCGTCCTTTTTATCTGAGCTACAGTAACCTGTGACCAGAGGCTTACATTTACTATCTTATCTCTTTCGGACACAAAGATCCTCAATCAAGTAATAATAATAATCTTTATCGATCTGATAACTAAGCTATTGTCGTCATAGAAAAGACTGTTTCCAATGGCTTATGTAAATAGTAAATATGACGTTTTGCACATTAAAAAAAACTAACATACGATTATTATTTTTGAAAAAGTATTTTTATTCTGACGAATGTTTTTCTTACAGACTTAGTTTTTAATTTTAAAATTAATGAGGAATTATTAGACTTAGAGTCTAATAATTCCTCATTCATTTTAAAAGCTTTGCTACACAAAAAATGTCTAATAATTAAACATTTTTTGTGTAGCAAAGCTTTCCTTTTTTAACTTAATATTTTTTAAACTCTTTAATTTGGTACTTTAGTTATCGACAGCCAAGTTTGTTTTTTTTTTTTTTTTTTTGTCCCAGAAAAAGTATTTCGTTCATTCTTCTAAAAAAAAGTAGATATTTTTTTTATTTTATTTTATCTTTAACACAAATTAGCAAAAAACTTAAAAAATTTTTTTTTTTAACTCGTTTGATACATTTTTAATTTTACTTGAAACTTTTTTACAGCCTTTAACAGGAAAATACTACAAATAAATTATGCTATTTATTTACAATGTCTTTTCTGAGATTCCTTAAAGAAAGCAGAAAATTCGAATGGTTCAATAGAAAATTAACCATGAATGAGCAATAGACATTTTTAAGACAATCAAAGAATTAAACAAAGTGATTTTCATTCCGTGATTTTGTCAGTGCTTGGAAATGGGAGGTAGGATCAAATCACGTGACTCTTGATTTTCTTCAAAAAACTGTTTTGTGTGTGTCTGTGTAGAACGTCTCATTTTTTGTTAAAAACAAATTATTTCAGAGTGATATGTTTAAGTACGTGAAGGATGATGCCAGGACACTTTTCTTTCAGTTACGATACATTAAGTATGACTTGTACAATTTTATTTTTAATTTAAATTACTACAATACTTACTACTCCAAAGATTAATTTGTTTTTGTAAAAAAATCCTTACAATTTTTATTATTTTATTGAAGATTGTAGCTGTTTATATAAAATTTTTATATAAACAGCTACAATCTTCAGTCCTCTTCACTATGGTCAAATCAAATTTCTACAGCTGGCTTGGGGTTAGGTTCGTCGTAGTCGTATAACTGAGTGAAAGTGACATTTGTTGTTTTTTTTTTTTTTTTTTTTCATTATTTTTGATAGAATCCTATTTTATTTTTAATTCTCTCTCTATAAAACCAAAAGGATTTTTTTTTTTTTTTTTTTTTTTTTTTTCTCGGGCACTGCAAAAACAAAATTATCGCTGTTAGTGTTACTGTTAACTAGCCATTAACGAAAATATAAAAAAAAAAAATCTTAAAAAGTTAAAAAAAAATCTTTTTCAATTATGTAAATAACAATACCAGTGAAAGTCTTTTTCAAGGAAATCCTTGCTCTTGTCGCATTTTAAAAAAGGAAGTGTGTATAGTCACGTGACTATCTTACCGCAAACCTTTTTTAGTTTTTTTTTGTTGATTATAGCCAGAAAAATTTGTTTTACTTTTTTAAAGATTCCCCATTCCAATATCACCTGAATTTTTTCCATTGCAACTAAAATAAAATAAACAAAACGAGACTATATTACCGCGGAAAACATTTTTTTAAAGCGTACTGTACTATTGTTTGTATACGTTGGGATAATTCGCTTTCTTCTTTCTCAATTAGTGTGCACCGCTCATCTAGCCCCCCCCCCCAACTTTTTTAACGGACAATAAACGAAGCCCTACGGTGTCTGCAGAGTTTTTACAGGCTCTCCAGAGAAAAGATGTGTTCTTGACTCGTGAATAACGAGAGCCTTTTTTTTTCTTTGCAATATCCTCTTCTATTTTTATAGGGTCAGAGAGAAGGCGTGTAAAATACATTGTTGATATATTTTTTTTTTTTTTTTTTTTTTGAAGAAATAAAACTTTTGTTTTAATTCTTCCGACGTTTCTCCATTTTTTATGGATAGGTATCTGCTTCGGCGGTCTGATATCAGAAAGAAGACAGCAAAATAGTAAAAATAAGAATGTAAGGTGAAAATTAAGATTCAGATAATAAATAAATGATGAAAAATTATCATTAACGTCGTTCTCAGTGTTACTGTTCACTGTTCATTCGTTTAGAAACAAAGCAGCCATTTCTCTCTTGCTGCAGACAAAAAAAATCCCTTTTATTTTAACTTAAGTCATTAAAAAAAATTTTGCTCTTTTTATTTTTTTTTTAATCTTTATTTCATAGATATCGACTTAAAAAAATTACCTAAGAAATGGCAGATATGATTTACAAAAAGTTTAAAGAAAAAGTGAAAGGAAGAAAAAGCCAGTTTTTAGCAGTTCAATAACAATACATTGAACAATCAGTGATTGAATTCTTTCAGTCTTACTTAAGATTTTTTCTTTTTTGCTAATGACTAATTTAAAACAAATACACAATATAAAATATCAGAAGAAATAGGCGATCAGTATAAATAAATAAATAAATAAATAAATAAAAAAGCTGAGTAGCTTAACAAGGAAACTGCATAAAGTAAAAAAAAAAAAGTCCTCATTTTCTCATGCTTTGTATTGCAAATATTTAATTTTAACTTTTTACATTTTATTTTATGATAAAAAGGCCGGACTTGAGACATGAAAATCGCTTTTACAGCAGAAGCAGCAAAATTACCAAAAATCCTGCCAAAAATGAAAAATGTTTGGTCACGTGACCACTACCGAATACGAGCTGGACAGATCAACTCAAATTTTGAATTTGAACCTCTGAAATTTTGCATGTAGATTTTTAGTTGATTTTCTACCATCCTCAAAATAAAGTAAAACTTCAAAGTTTATTAAGAACAATGAAGAAAAATACAGGTTAAATTTCCTACATTTGTCTTCATAAGTAACAAAGTTCCTCAAGTCAGGGAGCGGACGAAACTCATTGGCATATATAAAAAAAAAAAAGCTTTTCTTTTCCTCTTTTTGGTTTTATTTTTTTTTTTTTTTCCAAATTATTTATTCGAATTTTTACGCGCACACACAATTTCTTGCAAAAAACAAAAAAAAAAATTGTTTACTACTCCAGAGAATTATTAAAAAAAAAATTATGCCTCTCCTAGTCTATCATTTAAATTTTTGACTTGAAATTCATTAATAAGCGATTATTACCTACCATTAGAGAAAAAACCTCTACCTGACCATATGGTCAATTTATTTATTATCCAATCAAACTATTTTCAAATATCATTTAGTAGAGGGATTAGGATTAAAAGAATTATTATTTTTGAAGTTGCCAAATCCAATAAGTTATTGAAACAAGAAGTTAAAATACCATTTTGCAGTCTTGTACTTGTAAAAGTTAAAAAGCATATCTGGGTAGAGAGTGGGTGTGTCAACATACTGAGAAAATTTTTAAAAAGACATCGATATTTTGATTTTATAGCACATCGGTAAACCAATCCGTTTTTAAATTGCTTGCATAAAATCTGATATACTCAACAACAACAATAATCAACATTAACCGATTGAAGTAGTTTAAGCGATTTACTTAGCGTAGCTTCGATGTGGCCGAGGGTTTTGAAAGTATGGAGCATTCAGTGAGGAACAAACTCGCTACTCGGTTATAATTTTGAACTAGCGATATATGCTTGTTAATCATTTACAGTTGTTAACACTTAGAGTTAGACTACGTCG